TAGTTAGCGGGATGATATAGCCTGTGGTTCTGTTGTTAGCAAGGTGTGCTATAGTTAGCGGGATGATATAGCCTGTGGTTCTGTTGTTAGCAAGGTGTGCTATAGTTAGCCAGACATGAATAAAATAAGGTGTTGTGTTGTTAGAAAGTTCAACTGTTGCAAACCTAGTACTATAGTGGTGGTTATTGTGGGTATGGTATTTAGGGTTGTAGTGGTGGTTATGGTGGTGCTGGTGGATGTTGGTAGTAGTGGTTATGGTGATAGGGCATGGTGAGTGTTGGTAGCAGTGGTTATGGTACTTGGTAGTATTACATATAACATTAAGAATAATTCTGGTAATATCTGAACATGAACTTGATGTCACATCAGTCACAACAAACTGAAAATATCGAAATTTATAATTCCTATTAAAAATCTAAACCTAAGAAAACTTATTTAATCACTAACACAAGACGCAGTAAAATGTCAACATAATATTTGGCGGGAAAACATAATGTCAACATATTATTTGGCGGGAAAACATAATGTCAACACATGTAAATTTAGCGTGAAAAATAATAACAAGGAGCCGCCCTATGTAAAGAAATTGATCAGCTTAGAGAGAGAGAGAGACAGTTTTTTCCCACGCCGGCCAGCCCTCCACCACAGTCATAACAACAGAAGGGATCAATACTCGCGGTAAATTGGTCCCAGCATTACTAAACAACTTCCGTCTCAATTTGGCGGGAAATCTTCTGGTGAGCAAGTGAACGGTAGAGTTGCCGACCGCGTTTTTACTGTACTGTTTATGATTATATATTTCACGACACTTTCATGTTATTTTCGCATAGCTTATTTGTGATGTGCTTTGACTTTGTGGTGAAGTATTTTTCTATAGATTTTTTTTTGGGGGGGGGGTTTCATTGTCGTATAATTCGTGGTTTTATTTCCATGTTGATACCACTGATAATCCATAGCGGTGTCTAGCTCCTGACGTCACTTACGGGAGTCACGTGACCATCGCGTGTCGGCGGTCAGTGGTGAAGACTGTCACTTGTTTTGCATGAATGGACCATCAGTCAGCTGCTTGTGGCCGCACGTTCACTTATCATCAATTGTATTCATATTTCCACCCACCGCGCTACGGCTCTAGACAAATTACCCCCAACTAGCAATTACTTAAAGAGGGGTCGAAGTCATGGACCTCTCTGAACCCCGGAACCTAACCTAACCTAACCTAACCTAACCTAACCTAACCTAACCTAACCTAACCAACATTACCTTTAACCTCACCCAACTTCCTAACAGAGCACTTTAAACTAAACTACTTCTACAAAAGATGTACTACACCAGCAAGGTAAGGCAGTAAGCGTGACCCTGCAGTAAACAGTTACTTGTCATTATGGGAAGGTAAACAGAAGATGTGATAGATGGTGTGGGGAAGGAAACAGTGTCGTGTTGGGGTAAGGGATTAGTGTACAAGTGTCGCTAATTCACCAGGTATGCATTTAGCTTATTCTGAACGTAAAGTGTAGGTATAATTCTTACCTGTTGTGGTCTTGTCGTTATTGAAGGGTGGATGATGCGCCAGGTGAATTTTCAGATTAGGGAATTCAGTATTTTTCCCATTGGTAAAGATACGGTTTTTCTTCTCCATCCAAACGGGGGTAAAACAAGGGTGTGTACTGGCACCAACTCTCTTTTCCATTTTCTTGGCTGCCTTCCTTACTCGTGCCAGTGCCAATTTAGCCGGCGGGGTGGACATCGAGTACCGGATGAAGGGTCTTTTCAACATAAGGCGACTCCAGGCAGGAACAAAGATGTCGGCAGCTTCCATTACAGAACTTGAGTATGCAGACGACCTCACCCTTGTCGCTCACAGTGAACGCGACCTACAGGAGATCCTGAACACTTATGCAGATTCTCTCTCAGCCTGTCCCTGGTTCAGCCACGCCTCCACCATCCATCCAGCTTAACGGTACTACCCTCTCTAATGTTACCCACTTTCAGTATCTCGGCTCCCACCTGTCCACCACTGCGGACATCGATGAAGAAATTCAACATCGGATCGGCTGTACATCTCAAGCCTTTGGCAGACTCCGTACCCGTGTCTTCAGCTGTAGGGAGCCGAAATTATCTACAAAGTTGCACGTATATCGAGCAGTGGTCCAACCCACCCTGCTAAATGGCAGTGAGACATGATTCACATACAGGAGGCACCTCAAGGCACTTGAAAACTTTCACCAACATAGTCTACGTTCCATCCTTCGAGTTCGCTGGGAAGACAAGAGAACAAATGCTGCTGCCCCTCCCGCACTTTATGTAGCCCTCCACACATGCAACATCTGTGGACGGACCTACCGGTCCTGTGTCGGCCTTTCAAGTCACCTCAGAGCTCACCAATGAAGGTGATATCCTTAATAACTCATATCATTGTACCATAGCTGGATGATCGTCATACTCGATTCCGAGTGACAGCTAGTAGTACTAGAAGTAGTAGTAGTTGTAGTAGTAGTGTTTG